CTGCCCAAGGAAGAAGGGGTCAGCTGGAGGAAGCGGCGTTTCTTCCTGGAAGCTGAGACCGGGGCAGGAGGAACCAGTTGCCCCCTTTTGCTGTCTGGTGGTCCTTCCAGCCCAGCTGCTCACCAGACAAGATGGTTTTCTCTTGGCAGATGCAAGTCCTGCCTTGAAGTCACTTTGCACAAGCAGAGAAGGACCCATGGTTAAGCATTGCAGCCTCTGGCCAAAATGGCAAAGCGGAAGGGGGAAAGAGGGGAAACTACCTCTGGCTGCTGCTCTCAGCGTTGGTCCGGTCACTACAGAGCTTGGCCTTTCCCCTACAGACAATGTGGCTCCTTCAGCTTTTTGAGCAACTTGGAAAATGTTAAATTTAGTAGCCCAGAAGCAGCCAAAGTAGCATCGGGGCCCTACGATGGAGGAAGGGGAGTTTATACCAACAAACCATCGGCTGCCAGAGGATTTAAAATAGATGTGCCAGCATTTGTAATTATTTTACTGCCCATTTATTCTTATAGCAATAGTTTAAAATTATTTTAACTGGTAAATAATTCCCCCCCCACACACACACAAAATCAAACCTTGATTTTGCCATTTTCTATAAGGAATATAATTTTATTACACCACCAAAAGACTTGAGCACCCACAGATTTTGGTATCCAAGCTGGATCCAAGGCCCCACTGTACTAATATCAAAAATTAGAGTAAGGCTAAAGAAGAACACTAAACCAAACATCATGCCAAAATATAACCTGAAGAACATCCCAGTAGAGTTTAAACAGAATGTAAATAATAGATTTGCCCTATTAAGTGTAATTGATCGGGAGCCAGAAGAACTCTGGGCTGAAGCCAAGGACCTTATCAGGGAGAAATGCAAGAGTACAATCTGTCTGCAGAGCCAAAAAGAAAGAAAAGCCTCAATGGATGAAAATCTTCAGGTATTTAAGGACAGACAAGAAGCAGACACAGAACCATGAATGCAACTGTTCAACGACTCATGCACAGAGACAAGGAAAACTACAAGAATAATCAGTGCAGAGAAATAGAAGGTGACAACAAAAAAGGAAGAACAAGAGACCCCTTCCACAGGATCCAAGAAATCAAATGGAAATTTAAACCAACCAAGAGGAAATTTGCCTTGTGCTATCTGGACAGATACAAGCACAAGAAAGCCAACCTGTTAAATTATGCAAGAACAGAGTGGCGGAAGAGAAATGGCCTCCTTACCAAAGCGGGTGGGTTTCAATGTTTGGCTGGTGGAAGCAGCAAGAAAATACTGCACAGACTGAGTGTTCAAATAACTGGCAGAAGTAATCTCAGAACCACTGCCAAAAATCTCTGAAAATTCCTGGAGGACAGGAGAAGTCCCTGAAGACTGGAGGAGAGCAAACATTGGGTCCCCTTTAACTGCCCTGGCTCAGTGCTAGGGAATCATGGGAATTGTATTTTTTTTCTGGGACAGTGAGCCTTCTCTGTCAGAGAGCTCTGATGCCACAATAAACTAGGGTTCCCATGATTCCCTAGCACTGAGTCAAGGCAGTTAAAGTGGACTCAATTTGCACTATTTCTGACAGTCTGCAAAGGCCCATTGCCCCCATCTTCAAAAAAGAGGGAAAAAGAGGACCCAGTTAGTCTGACATTAATACCTGGAAAGATTCTAAAGCAGATAATTAATCAGAGAGTATGCAACCATTTAGAAAGGAATGCTGTAACTGCAAAAAGTCAAAATGTTTTTTTTCAAAAAAACAAGTCTCACCAGACTAATCTACGCTTAGGAAGGGAAAAAAATGAAATGCACAAATATAGGATGGGGGACATCTGGCTTAACGCAACTATATGTGATCTAGGAGTCCTAGTAGACCACAAGTTGAACATGAATAAACAGCGGGCCACAGCAGCTAAAAAGGCCAATGCGATTCTAGGCTGCATAAACAGAATTATAGTATCTAGATCGAGGGAAGTAACAGTCCACACCCCACTCCTGAGGCAGAAACTGGGAGGGCGATAACCCCCATCCCACCACCAGGCCTTGGGGGAGAGGCCCAGTTTCAGGGGTCCTTGCATTCAGACAGTCAGCAAGTGCCCTCCAGTTCCATTTTCAAGGAGGATGAAAGGAAAGTAAATACACCTACATTCTTCTTTGTGAGCCATTACAGAACAAGGAAGGACCAAAGCCCAGGTAAATTACTTTGGGGTACTAGTGCTCCCAGTCTGTCTTAGCTTCTCCACCAAATGAAATTTCCAGACCAGGGGTGGGAACTGTGTGGCCCCTCCAGATGAGGTTGAACTGCAAGACCCAGCATTCCTGCCATTAGGTAGGTCTCCCGGGGGATGCAGTCCAACAACATTCCAGAGGCCCCAGATTCCCACCTCAATGCGGATAAAGACAATGCTTTGTGCTTCTGAGGACCATGGAGGATTGTCCGTCCATCCTGCCCTGCAAGGCCAAAGGCAGGAAGGCTGGGAGATAGAGTCCAATGCCCTGGAAGGCCCACCCGCCTCGCCATGCGTCCCACCAGGTCCTCATCTGATCTGAAGGAGCCGCAGCCGCTTAAGCCATGGGTCTGGGGATGGCCAATAAGGCCCTACAGGTCTTCCTGCATAAGAGCAAACTGGTGTGGTGAAGGCAGATTTGTTTTCCCACAGCGCCAAGAGACTGGGAGGACTGGGTTACGCAGCAAGGACTGAGGAATGGCTGCGCAGGACCAAGTGGCGCCTGGGGCTTTTGGGCTCTATCAAATTTGCTTTGCGGTTTCTTATCTTGGGATGCAAACAACCAGCAGAGATTATTCAGTTTCCGCTGCACATTCCTCCTGCGGAGAGGCCCCAGGGAGCAACGTACCACTGCTACAGAACTATCACATAATCCTAGAGTTGGGAGAGACCCCAAAAGGGCCACCCAGCCTAACCCCATTCTGCCATGCAGGAACTCTCAATCAAAGCATCCCCAAGGACAGATGGCCGCCCGCTCTGCTCCTCCTCCCTGGTGCAAAGGAGGAACCCCAAAGCCAGGCTGGACAACTCCTAGAGCAGGGGTAGGCAACCTGTCCCCTTTAAGGGCCGAGGGACTTCAGCTCCCAGAATCCCAGGAGCTATTGGCCAATGCGGGACTATTGGCCAACATGGCTGAGGCTTCTGGGAGCTGAAGTCCCTCCTTGGCCCTTAAAGGGGAAAGGTTGCCTAGCCCTGTCCTAGAGGGAGGGCTTGGTCTGGGATGGGAAGAGGAGACTTACTTTGCCTGTGAGGGCTTTATAATTTGTTAATTTGTTTTAATTTGTTTTAATGTTGTATTTTTAATTTAATACATGGTTTAATCTTATTTTAAGGGGATGGGGGGGGAGGGGTTGCGGGAAGGGGAAGGGAATGTTTTAATTATGCTCTGTTTTAACCTTGCTGTTCCCCGCCCCGATTGCTCTGCAGAGGGGCGGGTTATAAATAAAAATTATTATTATTATTATTATTATTCAAAAGGCCAGGAAGACACACAATGACCACAACCACAACCATCATCTTGCCTCCTGAGCGGTGGGAGGCAGGGAGCTGCATGGAACATGCAGGCGGCTGAACCTTTCTTGCCGGCCGGGTCTTGGGCTCGCCATGCCACTCCTCTCACCCCAAAACCCTCCAGGATTTCCACAGCTTCTGGAGTTCTTCATTTGCACACAATTGTCGCCTTCTTCCTCTGTCCGACGGGGTTTTCACCAATTCCATGGAGGCACCCATATTGCTTAACAGACCTTTCTTTCCTTCCCAATCAATGGTCCAAATCAAAGGGAGAGCAGACTTTGAAAACGTTACAGGGTCATTTGGAGTTCCTCCATTTTGACTCAGTTAGAAAAGAGGGGATAATGGTGAGCTCCATAAGCGCCTACGGTATCGGGGAAGGGGGTACATACAACCCAACGGCTCCCTGCCTCCTCCCAAGCAAGGCCACGCTCAGACGCCGTTTGCCCCCAAAATATGACCTCTGGCCAGGATGCCAGTGGTGCCTGCCTCGGGCGTAGGGTCCCAGCGGATCTTGTGGCGGGGCTGAGGCCGTCTCTGGGTCCCATCACCCTCAAAGGGACATTTAGGGAAGGCCCCCCGGGGGGGATCCATGGCCTTCTCAGCGGCTGCTCCCAGATTGGGGGATTCCCTCCCGCAAATGGTTCCCCTTTCCTCTGGCCGGACGGCAGCCTGAGGCCTTTTTATGGGGGCAGGTCTTCAGCTGAAAATCTAAGTGGCAGAAAGGGATGGTGGCATTTTTAATATATTTTTTAAAATTATGATCAGTGTTTTTCATTGAATCGTAAGAGATGGAAGAGACCCCAAGAGGCTATCCAGCCCAACCACCTTCTGCCATACAGGAATACAAAGGATCCTAGAGTTCAGAGGGACCCCACAAGGGCCATCCAGTCCAACTCCATCCTGCCATGCAGGAATACACAGAATTACAGAGTTGGAAGAGACCCCAAGGGGCCATCCAGTCCAGCCCCCTTCTGCCATGCAGGAATACACCATCCAGCCTTTACTTAGAAACAGCCTCCAAAGAAGGAGAGTCCACCACCCTCCAAGGCAGGAGCATCTTCCACTGTCAAACAGCTCTTACTCTCAGGAAGGTCCTCCTAATGTTGAGGTCATAAGGCTTTCGTCATAAGGCTTCATGGTTTCCAGACCCAGGAAGGGCCGGGGGTCCCCATCGTCCCCTGGACAGTCCTGCTCTGGGCCGCCTGCCTCTCTCCTCCATCTTCTCCCAGGGCCAAAGTTGGCCACAAGTACCTCTGGTTCTCGGAAACCTGGCAAAAGCTTGGGATCTGTGATCTACAATTCCTAGAGGACTGGAAGGAGCGTGAGCCATCGTCCCGTTTTCCCTGCAAAGAGAAGGTTTTCTGGCTTTCGACTCTACCTGGCTCTCCTCCCAGGAAGACGGAGCAAAAAGCAAAGAAAATGAGACAATGGATCCCACTTGGAGAGCAAATTCTAGTTGGCTTGGAGGGCTTGCTTTTATATTAGCCTCTCTCCGAAGGGTCAGTGTGGCATTGTGGTTTGTGTTCTGGACTATGATTCTGGGAGACCAGGGTTCAAATCCCCTCTTGGCCATGGAAATCTACTGGGTGACCTTGGGCAGGTCACATTCTCTCAGCCTCAGAGGAAGGCAAATGCAAGCCCCCTCTCAACAATCTAGCCAAGAAAGCCCCACGATAGTTTCACCTTAAGGCTTTCATAAGTCGGAAACGACTTCAAGGAAGACAACGGCGGCAGCGGCAGCAGCAACAACTTGCCCAACCTCTTAATTATGGCTTACTAATAATCAGGTACAAATAATTAGTTACATTATGGGAGAACAAAGCTATAACTCGAGCCGCCTTGAGTCCTTATATTTGGAGAAAGGTGGGATAATAATGATGAATAACAACAATAACAAGAAGAAGAAAATTGCAATGTAACTGGGGATACCTTTACTCTTCCTGTGAAGTGGGGCCTCAATGAATGAAAGAGGAGGAATACTATGGCGTTCCAGTGCTGGCTCAAGATGCGCCTCATGGTCTGTGGTGAACGTTGATGGAACAACAAGGCGGACAGGAGGCAAGGGCGCCTTGTCTAATCGCTGCCAGCAATTCAGATCACAACAAGTAAATAAATAAATACCCTAACTATTTTTGTGTTATTTGTTTAAAATAAACTATACCTGTAATAGCAACCAACTACAGAAGGTAGCATCACAGAATCCTACAGTTGGAAGAGACCCCAAGGGCCATCCAGTCCAACCCCATTCTGCCATGCAGGAACTCACAGTCAAAGCATCCCCGACAGAAGGCCGTCCAGCTTCTGTTTAAAGACCTCCAAAGAAGGAGAGTCCATCACTCTCCAAGACAGCAGCATCTTCCATTGTTGAACAGCTCTTACTGTCAGGAAGTTCTTCCTATTGTTTAGGTGGAATCGCTTTTCCTATAGTTTTGCATCCATTGCTCCATTGTGTCCTATTCTCTGGAGCAGCAGAAAACAAGCTTGCACCATCCTCAATATGAGGACACCCCTTCAAATATTTAAAGAGGGCTGTCAGGGCAGGGGGAGACAGTCATGGAACTACAACTATAATGAATTACAGTGGGCCCTTGGTATCTGCCAGGATTTGGTGCCAGGAGCCTCTGTGGATACCAATACCCACGGATGCTCAAGTCCCATTAAATACAGTAGTGTTATACACACACACACAGTCAGCCCTCCACATTTGTGGCTTTGATTTTTGAGGATTTGCTTATTTGCATTATATTTTATTAGAAAAGTATTATGTGATTAATGTATTCCCTCTAGGAATCTCTAGGTCCTCCAATGCGACTCTGTGGCTAACTTTCATCAGAAGTTGCGCTGAAGGAACTAGAGATTCCTAGAGAGAACACTTCTCTAGGCATTTGTAGGTCCTCCAGCATAATTCTATGGTCAGCCTCTGATAGATGTTAACCACAGAGTTGTGCTGGAGGACCTGGAGATTCCTAGAGAGGTGTTCTGTCAGGTTAAAACAAACAGTGGTTTGTTTGTTTTTTAATTTGTGATTTTTCCCACTTTCACGGGGGCCCTATGTCCCTAACCCCAGCAAATGTGGAGGGCCCACTGCATAACATGGCAAAATCCAGGTTTGCTTTTGGGATTTTTCAGGTCAAGGATGGTTGAATCTGTGGACGCAGAATCCGTGGATACAGACAGCCAAGTAACTTTCCAAGATTGGGCATTAACTCCTCATACCTATGAGAAAAACCGAACCCACGTTGTTTGGCGGTGGATTAAATGCTTTTCTGAGCCCCCAGGAAATAAATAACCAGGCTTAAGCTTCCCTGCCGCAGGCCTGCCTGGGCTTTTCTCCAGAATCGGCCCCCGGATTAGGAAAAGCAGGGGGTCAGGGGTCGGTCCAAGCCAATGGCCAAACTAAGCCCTTCCCCAAACAAGGGGGGCAGCAGAAGCCTTTGCACAGCCTTTGGCTCCATCTGGAGCGTCTGTCCAGTTCCGGTGGGAGCCTCCCACGCTTCTTCTTCTTCTGCTGCTGCTGCTGCTGCTGCTGCTGCTGCCAGGGTCATTGCTCTTTTGGGTGAGGAGAGGTGGAGGACTTTGCACCCCGAGGAGGAAACCAGGGTCCCAGGAGGGCAGCAGCAGCCACACACAGCCGGACTCTGGACTTTTAAGAAGCCAGACAACTGCTCTTTGTGTCCTTGGGCCCATCAGCCTCACGCACAAGGAAAGGGAGCAGGGGCAGAAACCCTGGGGCTCTCTTCCAACTCTAGGATCAGGTGGTTCTTTTGAGGAGAAAAACGTACGAAATCAGGAGAACCTGTTTTGATTTCATGGGACCCAGCAGTGAGAAAGAACAGGGACCTGGGAACAGCTGTCCCAGCCCAGCAACTCACTTAGGTTCTGGCCCTGAAATCTTAGAGCCTGAGATAGAAACCCTATGGATGATAGCGCTGCTCTGGGAGGAGCGGCTTAGGGACCTTGGCATGTTTTGCGTGGAGAAGAGATCCCAAAGGGTCATCCAGTCCAACCCCCTTCGGCCCTGCAGGAAGACATCATCCAAGCCGTTTCTGTGACAGATGGCCATCCGGTCTCTCTTTAAAAACAGCCTACAAAGAAGGAGACTCCAGCATCCTTTAAAGGGAAAGTCTTCCATTGTCAAACAGCTCTCACCGTCAGGAAGTTGTTCCTAAGGTTTAGATGGAATCACAGAATCCTAGGGTTGGAAGGGACCTCGAAGGGCCATCCAGTCCAACCCCATTCTGCCATGCAGGAACTCACAACCCAAGCACCCCTGACAGATTGCCATCCAGCCTCTGCTTAAAAACCTCCAAAGAAGGAGACTCCATCACACCCCGAGGCAGCAACCTCTTCCATTGTCAAACAGCTCTTCCTGTCAGGAAGCTCCTCCTAATGTTGAGATGGGATTACTTTTTTTGCAGTTTGCATCCATTGCTCCACGTCCCAGTCTCTGGAGTAGCAGAAAACAAATTTGCTCTATCCTTAATAAGACATTTAAACATGGGTATTGTGTCACTCCTTAACCTTCTCTTCCCCAGATTAAACATGCCCAGCTCCCTCAGCTGCTCCTCACAAGGCATTATGGCTTCCAGTCTTGCCTGCAATGAGATTTGGGTCCATTCAAAGCCAACTTTGAGACACACTCTGCACACACCTTTCCTGGGCGGATGGGAGTTATGAGCTTGGCCTTGCTAAGCTCTACCTTTTGGAAAGACTAACCCAAAGGGCAGAGGAGCCGCCATGAAGGTCTTTGCCTTTTAGGCAGAGAGAAAAGGAGTCAAGTGACTCCTTGCAGCCAGGAGTGTGTTTGGAAATTCAAAAAGGAGGAAAAGCAGGGGAGAAAAAAATAATAATAATAATAATAATAAT